AACAACTAGAAGTTGAGAAAGAGGAACCAAAGATAGGAGAAGGAAAAGATGGTTACAAAAAGAATGTAGAGTCTGTCAGACAGCTATGAGACCATCCTAGGCCACAAGTGACCATGGAAAGTTGTTAATCATGCTCTAGCCTCATAGCCACGCCTCATCAACCAGACTTGGTTTTCTGTCTCCTTAGAACTCAAGGATACAGTGGCACGAGCCTATAGAACAGATCATGTTCAAGTAAGGTCGTGCCCTTCAGTTGTAGTGAATGGCTATATAAACAGCAAATAGATAAGTTAATGCGTCGATGTGGGACAGATCTTATGCCAATCTTCAACCCTGACAAACAACTAGATTTTCCGCTCTCGGGCAAACGTGACCAAAATCGAATCCTAAAATAATAGTAGAAGTCTACTTTGTGATTTTGATTCGTGTGGAGAAAACAAAAATACTGCCAATGAGGTTAAACTTTGAATCAAAAACCATTACAATTATTTTAAACCCCAAAAAAAAAAAACGTCATGTTTACAAGACAAATTAAATTACCCCTTGAAATTTGAGTCTTTCTACACTTCCATAATCAGAAAAATAAACATAATTAAGGTAACGTGGAATGAAGAAATTTTGATACAAATCTATTTTTATTTGTTTAAAATAGATTGACACTATTTTATACTCCTTTGTAAACTTTGTAGTTCTAATATTTCTATCTTAGTTTTGAAGACACTTTCTTATAAGAATATTATTACATATGTAAGGCCATAACGTTCAAAGGTTTTTTTTTATATATTGTACACATGTTTAATTAGTGTGTCAAATATATTATTTTCTTAGATCTTGCTTCCATTAAACACCAATAACAACAACAACAACAACGACCCAGTATAATCCTACAAGTGGGGTCTGGGGAGGGTAATATATACGCAGACCTTACCTCTACCCCGAAGGGTAGAGAAGCTGTTTCCAGGAGACCCTCGGCTCAAAAAAGCAATAGGAGATGATATATTAGTACCATAAAAATGCGTAATAAAAATAACAACAATATATAAGAGATATGAAATATGAAATACAGAATACGAAATACGAAATAGATGGCTGGTATAGTACAACTAGAAGGTAAAGCTCTACATCAATAGACGACCAATGACATTCCTAGTCTAACTCCTAACTGGATAATCTCACTCTATTGTGCTGTAGAAATATTCACACTCTCCCCTAACCTACAACCTTAATGCTCGACCTCCATAATTCTCTATTGTGCTTCCATTAAACACCATTTGTTTAAAATGAAAATGTAATAGTCAAAAGCAAAAAAAAATTGTCTGAAATCTATGTTCTTTTTTTGAGGTAAGCTGAACTATATAAAGATCAAGGATGGTTTAGTATAAATTTAATTCTAGTGTTAGTAAGGACAAGTAATATGAAGTAAAAAATTAAAAATGTTGTAAGAAAAATGACTTCCATCAATAGATGAGATAAGTTCACTCTATTCTTTTTGATAAAAAATATTTTTCAAGGTAATCAAACACCTAAAAATAATTTTATCATGAAAAATATTTTATTTTAAAATGACTTTCATTATAACCCGACACACAAAAAAACTAAAAGGAAAAGGAAAAAGTTTTTTAGATTGTCAGTTACTTATTAAATAATATTTAAATAAAGATTATTACTTTTGTTCTATTCTAAAAAGAGCAAATTCATTTACAATTACAATATTTTTCCAAAATCATGTACGTTTAGTACTCTTCAAAATTTTACGCATAGTCCACAATTTAAGGTATTAATTTTGAACCATATTAATTTATCCATATTTATCTCCCATTATTAATCTATACTTACCATCTTTATGAAAGTTCCCGCTCTTAGAATCCCCTTTTTCATTATTCTTATCAAACACAGTCTTAGTAAATTCACATTTTTATTCCATGTTTGAAGGTGTATATATACATATAATTTTTTTACAATATAATTTTAAATATATACATATGTAATGAATATATTATGTATATTTGCCTATACCGAACTCGTTTNTGTATATGTGATATACTTGATGAGATCCTCTCATTTTCATTTGCCTGGTTCTATTTGGAACCAGCTACAAGTCTCTAAGGTTTGGTTGCCTGACGGGCTCTTCGGTCGAGCCCAAAATGGCCTAACGACAGACTGCAAGTCAAAAAGGAAATTTACATAAATAGCCGGTCAAATTTATTATTTATTTTTTTAGCCATACATATAAATTATCAATTGATTATACATAATTATATATGAACTGTGCACATATGATACATTTTCTGGCTATTTTTAATTTAAGCGATTAGTATGCGATTATTTAGATTAATTCTTCTATTTAAATACTAGCACCTTATAGAAGGTCAAGTTATGAGTTGCAGCTTCTCCAGGTGAGAACTTCGATCTTTCCATAGTAACTTGTAAAAAGTATTTCATCTTTGATTGTAGTAATTTACAGCTACTAGTCCGTTCTATTTCTAGTGTGTTATCCCATTTAGAAAAGTAGACCAAAACTACAAGTTATAATATGCAAGAAAAAGTGATTCTTGTGGTCTTTGGATAGGATATGTCTCTATACGTCTCCTTATTTATTTGAAGTAGCTAGACTCAGGTTGTTGGGATCCCTAAATTGGTTAAAAATTATGAATGTTTTGCATACCTTGTCGTTAAAGCAATTGATGCTTGCCCCCCAAAAATATGGTACGATTCTTTATGTGATTCAAGATCTTTTCTTATCCTTTTATGTCTTTCATGGTGGAGTGGATTAGAGGTAGATTCAAAATTTGAAGTTTATGGATTTGGAATTCTAGTTTGTTTAAGTTATTATGTTCTAAATTAATAATTTATACATATTCAATAAATTTCTTAAGGCAAATATAGAGTTTGAATTAAAACTACTAGTTCGACTGAACCTGTAACCTGTGTTTTAGCTCTGCCCCTGGATTGGAATATTGGATCATGTTAGACGTTTGCCATAATTTTCTTATCATATTTGGCTTTCCTATTTGTTGAAGGGAAGGAGAACATGTTTACCTTAATATATACATGTGTGTGAGATACATGCGTGATACATGTGTCGCAGAAGAATTTTTTGAACGATTTAATTACGAATTTTGATACAAAACCAGTCCAAATTACCTCCAATCTTCCTCAACTTTTGTATATAGACTTATCTATATGTTTTCAATGAATTTCAACTGTACCCATTGAAAAAGTTCCTTTTTGCTTAGATTTTTGCTACCTCATACATGAAATTTACTTTTCGTCTTGCATCTAATGTTGCTAATCACGCTTAAAAATATGGAAGGAGATTTTTGCATGTGATTCTTTGAGAGAAAGAACCTTATTTATTTGGTTTTACAATTTTTACATGTGTTTGGCTAGTTTTAGTAATGTTTGACCAAAAGATATTAAAACTATCTTGATTAAATCAATTGATGAAGATGAAGAGGTAAATCTCACCTAAGCGTAATAAAAGCTAGACTAGATGGTGCCAGGGTAAAATAAGGTGAATGATGCTTCCTAATATGTTGGAACCAAATGATTATTCGTAAATGCGAGAACTTCAAATGTAAGAGAATATAACAATGAATGCAATTAGTCAAGACCAAGAGTGATGTAAGGATTTTGATCTGTAATAAGCAAAGTTGTTCTTTCTTCATTCCCCTTATAGAGTGTTCTTTCCCCCCTCTTTATAGGGGACAATCTCCCTTTTTACCCTAAAAAAGGTACAACACAAGGAATATTCGAAAGACATATTCCTATTGTTCCCTATCATGCTAACGTTACTCCAGACGCCGTTCGTTCACTAGCCGCTGTTAGTTGTCACCCTTCATAACGACCAAAGGACGCTGCATCGTAAAGACCTCGTTCTTTGTTACACTTAGTAACAGTCGTGGTCGTTCAAATTTCGACCTATACAGTTAGTCCCTCCGCTTGTCGAGGTCGCGACCTGTTGCGTCCTTGGTAAGCGGACATCGCCCATACTTACGAAGAAATTTGGTATGCAAACCATAACGATTTGGCCAATGACGGAAGAGCGGTGCATTTCGCTATATCCTGGGTGGTGTGTTCTATTGGGAAATGACGTCACTTCCACGTGCGTCATCATTGCGCATCTTCCCGAGGCACAGATTGATGGCCTGTCGCTTTAGTTTTACTGCAATGGGAAGCTTTTGGCTTCGATTCTGGTGTCACCCAACCCTATAAATAGGGGAAGAGTTTGTTTTTTCAAAAACTCTTGGCCATTTCTCTTCTGATCATTCTCTTTCGTGTTTGTAGCTTTGCTTCGGTGATTTTCTTTATTTCCTTTTTTCTGTTCATTGTTCTTGGTCTCTTTCGTTTAATTAACACATCTTCCTCCATAGACATGCCTAGAACACACCGATCGCATGAGGGGATTGTGAGCACGTGATTTTTGCGCTACATAAATTGCTCCTATAAAATCAAAGAAAATAGATTTTTCCAATTATTTGCCATTTTATAGGATTTTGTAGGATGTTCATTTAATTGTTTATATTTTGTGCATGTTTAAGTTTTATTTAAACCATGAAAAACTACCAAAAATATCATGCATTGCATTTAAGATTTATTTTTATATTTTTAGAATTAACCAGTAACTATTTGTTTTATAGAAATTCGAAAATCACAAAAAAATAGCTCATTTTTTTACATTTTTTGTCTTTTAATTTTTAGCTTAGAATTAAGTGTTGTTTATAATTTTTATAATTAGCTAATTAGTTTAATTTCACACTTTTGGATAATTTATTATTTGTAGGATTTTAATTAAAAGAAAAGAAAAAAAATTAGAAAATAAAAGAAAGAATTGGAAAAAAAAGGTTTGTCTTTTAAAATTTGTCTAATTCTCGCCCAACCCAAATCTGATCCAAAACTTCCCACCCAAGCCAAACCTAACCTACCCGACCCGCTTACCAGACCCAAACCCACCCCTTTTAATTATTAAAACCTCAGATCCTAGACCAATTCACATCAGATCCCTAACGCAAAACCAGCGCAGCTTTTCCCCTTGTTCTCCATTCTGTCCTCACACTCTCATCTTCTTCGCTGCTGCTTCAACCTAAACCAAACACGATTCACACTCACACAAGCCTTGAGAACCAGCTGAAATTTACAACTCAAAATTCCAGGGCTTAAAAATCAGAAAAGCTCCAAAAAGAAAAAGGGAAACAGAAACGCGAACTGAAACAAATTTTCAAGTCGTTCCTACTTCGATTCTACCGTTCATTTTTTGCATTCGGATAGGGATCTAGAAAGTAGCTCGAATAAAAACAAGCTCTAGGATTCTTGGGTCGTTGAGTTGTTGATTGTTGGCTGAATCTGTTGTTCTTGCTTCGCTGATCTGTTCTTCATTCGATTTGTTCATGTCAAGGTATTCCTCGACCCTTGCTAATAAAAGCTCCAGCACGTTGAGCTCTTTCTGCGCGCTGCGGTTAGCCTCTTCTTCTCGCGCTCTCGCTGCTAACTTGCGCATCTCACCTACCCAATTCTCTCCTCTCCGCCGATCTCTGCCGTTGACATCTGCATATATAATTGGCAAGCCACTTTTTTGCTCGCGCTCACATAGGAGAATATCAGTATTGAGTAGAAACTCCTCGAGATCTCAGTTTAGAATTAAATCATCAATGGCTGAGACTGTGACAGGTAAAAGTAAAGGGAAAGTTGAAGTGTTTGATACTGAAGAGGAACTTGCCGTGTCTCTAGCGAAGTACACAGCTGATTTATCGGAGAAGTTTTGCAAAGAGAGAGGTTCTTTTTCTGTTGTTGTTTCCGGTGGTTCACTTATCAAGTCTCTTAGGTAATTGTTTATTCTTCTCGTTGTTAATCTCTTTGGGATGGTTTTGGTGTTTAAGTTAATTGAATGCTTGTGTTTGTTGCAATTGTGCAGGAAATTGGTGGAGCCACCATATATTGATTCAATAGACTGGTCGAAGTGGCATGTTTTCTGGGTGGATGAGAGAGTGGTCCCAAAGGATCATCCTGATAGCAATTATTTGCTTGCTTATGATGCTTTTCTATCCAAGGTATTTGTGTCTTTCTACTACATATTGATTCTAACGCTTCCACAGTGTGTGATATCTTCAATTTTTTGTTAAAATAATTTTTCGTACTATATATATACATGCTTCTTTCATTTGTTTGTCCGATCAATGGAATGAAAATGATCGGTTTATTGTGCAAATGCTTCCTTACATTTGAACAACGAGCTGCATTAATGTCTGAGTTTCTACACAGAGAATGTAAGGGTAATCTGAACAGAGGTGAAATGCACTTTACGGGGCTATATATTGATGGAGAATAAACTCTGTTGTTATTAAGCTTTCCATTCATCAACTCCATTACTCCGGATGAACCATATGGAAAAATCAGATTAGAAAGTAGTTCTGTTAGGAGTTGAGGCCAGTGGTATCAGAGAATGCAAGTTGTGCCCATAGTGTAAACACATAATGTACCAAAATGTCTTGGGTTAAGACACTAAATAAGATAATCTTGCTAATGGATCAACGAGGACTAAACTGATCTGGTGGTCCCTGGTAAAATGAACTGTGAGAATATAAGGTAAAAGGTAAATACTTCCTCCGTCCCAATTTATATGGTACTGTTTGATCGAACATGGAGTTTAAAGAAATGTTAAAATGTTTTCTAAATATGTAAAGGTGCCATTTTTTGGGACAAACTAAAAAGGAAAGTGTGTCACATAAAATGTGACTGAGGGAGTAAATATTATTTATTTAGCAGACACATGAATGACTTGTGTCGTGCCATGTACTGTCCTAAGAAACTGTTTTAGCAATGTGAAAGCTTTCCAGAATTAAAGCCTTCCTCTATTAGAGGGAACATAAACAACAACAAATATGCCTAAGTCCTAAACAAGTTGGGGTCGACATTATGAATCCTCACTTCCTCATTTAAGCTCAACTTATATTATCATCCTACCAAATAAATTAAAAATGAATAGAGGGAACACAATCAACAAATTTTAAATAACGATCAACAAGTTATGAACGAAAAAGAAGAAAAGACAGCAACTTGTTTGTAGGGAAATTAACTGTAGAGAAAAGAGAGAAGAAAGAGTTAAAGAGCGATAAAGGCAGAAGAACTTATGTTATATTGATTATAAGGTTAGCTTTATATAGCCAAGTGTATTACATAAAAGCTGTGAATAATGTAACAACTCAAAGAGAATCTAGGATACAGAGAAACCTATGTGAATAACAATCCTAAACAAAAGGAATCTGATAAGCACCAAAAGAGATATTAAAAAACAGAATAACAAAAAGTCTTATACAGAAGGAGATAACTTGTTACTGCCGTTATTAAGAGTAAGTATTATGATGGAGTAATAATTAGCGATTATTGGTGTGTCTGGATGAAGCCATAAAGAAGTCAATTTTGGTGTTGTTTGGATGGATTCAAAAATGACTGTATGTTAGTTATTTATAGGATGAGAATAGGTCTTTAATCATGATGTCATGCCGTTTGTCATAATTTTTTATGTATGCATCTGTCCATAAACTCTTATGCATGAGCCCATTTAGCTAATCTAATTAGCCATTTGTCCATAAATCCTCGTGCATGAAACTTGCTACTTAGCTAAAATATCATTAAAATATTTCTAACAATTATTTCAAAAGATTCTTCAAGAAATGGAGTAGAACTTACTGGATTTGTAGTTGAAGTAGTATACACTTTGATGATTTCACCTATATGAGAGTGAAATAGTGCCACTCCTATAAAATTTTGGCCAAAACTCTAGAGTTCTCATGAATAACTAAGAACATGCATGGCATGTTTGTGCAAAACCATGTTGAACAACTTAATCGTGAGGGGTCAAAATGTAATTGATGAAATTTTTTCCTTGCAATAAGAATTATTGGTTCATATAAATACTATATTTAAATCGTAATTCTGCGGGTGAAATTGTATTGGTCTAAGTTAGGTTCATACTTCATAGTCCAAAAGACTCCAAGTTGATTGCATTTGAACCATACAAATCTAGCAAGACGTACTCTTAAATTTTTTTGAAATATGTAGGGGATTGTTGCTAATATTTCAACAATATTTTAGATAAGTGGCTTCATGCATAAGCGTTAATGGACATATGTCTAAATAGATTAGCTAAATAGCTTCATGCATGAGAGTTTAAAGACAAATGGTTAAGTGAATTAGCTAAGTGGCTCCATACATGAGAAGTTATGGATAAGTGGCATGACACTTGCCGTGATTAGAGGCCTATTCTCATCCTATATATAGCTAATCATACCCCAATTTTTAATCCGTGTTAATGCACCAAAAGTTGGTTTTGCTTATGGCTTTATCACAACAAACCAACAATTGCTAATTATGACCTCATCTTAGTACATACTCCCTCTAGCCTTATTTCCTTTGTAGTCAATTTCCCTACAAATACCTAGTTGTTTTATCTTTTTTGTTCATAACGTGCTTGTTATTATTTGAATTTTGTTATTCATGTTCCCTCTGATAGAGGAAGACTTGTTTAATCGGGGAAAAACTCACTTTGCGAAAATAGTTTCTTAGGACGGTGCCTAGCTCGATAAGCCATTCATATATCTCTTAAATAAATAATATTGATTCACCTTTTCCCTTGTATTTTTTTTTCTGGAAAAGGAACCTTTCCCTTATATTTGCCAACAAATATCTTGTTGTTAATGCATTTTGTGTGTTGTCTCTGCTTAGTAGATCAAATAATTTTCTTTTGAGAAGGGCTTAGTAGATCAAATCATAAATGCTGACCTAACATGTTAGTACGAAGATCATGTGAGTTTCGAGAGCTGTCTGAGGTAGAAACTTACAGTGAAGCACCTCTCAAGATTCAGTTCAATAATCCATCGACTTTTAGTATTCCATAAGTCCAAAGTGAGTAAATGTCCTTATCCTAAGCTGCAACTAGCGTTAGTTTGTTCTTGGATAGAGCAAAGGCTGCCGTTCTTGTTGGATTAAACATGTGGTCACAGAGGTTGTTGCTGGTATTTGTTAAAGATGGAAATGCAGAAAGAAAGACGGTTTTCCCCTTTCTCTGTCTATTGTTTCGGGCAGGGGCTGGAGGTGTAGGTTGCTTCTTTTCTCATGTTTACATTTGAGAATTACACTATTTCTATTGTTACTTTCAGTCTTGAATGAAAAATATGCATTGTAATGGGATATTGCAAAAGTAGGAGAAAGGTAGAACCAATTGTCATACGGGGCAAAATGATTGCTCGCCAAAAGCATTCTGGTAAATTATGGGAAAGCTGAACTTCCCGCTGCTGTGTAGGGAAAAGCCTTTGGCATGCTAAACAAACCTGCGCCCTGTTACTAATACCCCTATTCACCCCCTTGGGATGTGACCATTTGACTTTTGTTCCTTATAACTTGATGCTAATTTTGGGGCTCTTGATTAATCATGTGCAAAGTAATTGTGCAAAATTGACCATTAATCAACACTGTTTAACAAGATCAAATCTTTAAACTTCTATCATCACCAAATATCTTTGGATTTTTTATATGTTAAGGGGGTGGGAGCTGTCATTTGAATCGTCTCTTTATTTTTATTTTTTTGGTTGGTAAGTTGAATAGGCTCTTTATCATGAACGAAAAAAGCAAATTTACCTACGTGGTTTTTCTCCTTTTTG